TAATGACCCTAAATATTAAATTAAATTAAATTAAATTTTTTTCTCATTGATATTTTATTTAAATTAGTTTTATAATAAGTGGAGAGTGATTGTTTAAGTGAAACTTATACTAGTAACTTTTTTGAAGGTTTAGAGCTCAAATTCTATTGAGCAAAAGTTTGATTTTGTTTTGTTTTAAATTATAGAAAAATTTTGTGTCCTTTTTTGTAATTTTTCTCGTGCCTTTCTTTTAATTTTTCCCAAATTATTTTTGGTTCAGATTTTGTTCTTCCTAACGCGTAAAGAACAGAGCATCATTTTCATTTCTTTCTCTTCACCGACATGAACTCTCTCTCTCTATTTCTCTTCGATCTTTCTAGCGAGCTCACACTATTGTGTCTCTAGTCATCATTCTTCCTTCATTCTTCCTTCATTCTTCCTCCTTCCGCCAGCGTCCTCTTCAATCTCCAACGCTACAGCTGCGCTTTTACCGACAGTGTGTTGAAAACGTGAGATTTCTTCCTCCGTCATCATCCCCTGTCTCTTTTCGGATATGTGGTCGAGGGAGGCGCTTTGTTGTGCGCCCTCAGTCTTCATCTCTTCATCCTTTCTCAGCTGTAAGTATCACAGGGGTTTATGTGGTGGGCTCAGTCTCTCCTCTTACTCTAGCTTCCGATGTTGTTCTTCATTTTCTAATTCTGGTTGTCGAAAATTTGTGGATATTGAGGTGCTGTTTGGCTTATGTTGGGTGTTACTTTATTTTGATATTGAGCTGAATCTGCGTTGTAGAATTAAATACTTGAAGTTGTTCGAAGATTTGAATGTTGATTTCATGATTTAGCTCATGGTGGAAACTCAAGATATTTGTGAAAATGCTTGAAAGAATGTTGTTAAATTGGCATAATATAGCTTTGAAGGATCACATGTACAGTGACTTGAGCTATTGCTTGAGATTTTAAAATAGCAAAGGAGGGGAAAGAATTAATCTGATGCTTGTATAGTACTTTATTAAGTCTAAATGAAGGATAACAATAGTTGATATGGTCTATTATGATTTATGATTGAAGATGGGTTACAAAGAAGTATAAGGATAGATTAAAATTTGTCAAATGGTTTAATTGACTCAAGCATAATTAGAACTCAAATGAAGACAGCGCTCTCTTAATTACTACTTGCAAATTGATTATTGGTATATTGTGAAGCATGAAGTTGCATATGATTTGGTTTATATTATATTTTAAGGTATTTGAACATAAGAGTTGGTAAAAATGTGATTATTTAATTTTCATAATGGGCTTAGAGGAACTATAAATATTACTTGATGGAATATATGTCTTTACATACAATTTGTAAATTTGAACTACACATGGGAATCTTGTAGCACCTAAAGTGAAATTATTAAACTACATGATAATTAAGATTTTTGTTAAGTTTGAAATAAGAGTTGACTTAATTATTACAGTTGAATGTTGCTAAATATTGTTGACTACTTGATAAAAGTTGTTGGAGGGTTCAGTTAGAGTTTAAGGGGTTAATGAGAAATTTAGAAAATTATTGAAGAGCTTGAATGTTAATTTTACTTGCCTATATTAAAAAAAAAGGAAAATCATAATGATACAAAGATTACTGGTTTATGTGCTAGATTATTTGGGGTATCACTAAAGTAAATGAGAACTTGAGGAGGTCCTGTAGCTTTATTGGCAGGATCCGACTCTTAGGACATGTCCTAAGAGTTCAGTATGTGTTTTAACAGCTCCCAGACATTTAAATCAGGTGCATATAAGTCACTATTTTTATTTCCTTCAGTAGCTTTATTGGCAGGATCCGACTTGAATGAATTTTCACTAGTGGGCCTTGCTGAATTGATCAGACTTCTTTCTGAACCTTTGACTACTTTATGAGTTCTTTTTGTGGGCCTGTAGCTAGCAAGATTGGGCTGATTGCTTGTAGGTGCGTTTTTATCCAAGGCAAAGTCATTTGGGCCTTCCCATGAAAAACCCAGCCCAGTTCAAGTAGCCTTTCTCTCCTTTTCTTCATCGTTCCATTTGCTCTTTCCTTTAGAGCTTTTGGCTACCACCTCCTCTTCTCTTGGTCTCACTCTTTCCAAACTTGCTGCTTCTTTCTTCCTCCATACTTTCCTGTCAAGTTTAGCAGGCAATGACTTAGGTGGACCAATGTGCATCTCAAAGAAGACTTGTTGCTGAATTCGGCTTCCTCCAGATCTGCAAGAATGTTGAATCATGTACCAGATGTAGGATAAGGTCCAAAGCGTGTTGGTGGATTAGCCATTGTGTTTCTCGAGTTTAGTATGTCTGGTTTCTCATGTGAAGTTCATGAAATCGTTGAACTCTTCTTTCAACAAACTCTGAATGGATTCCGGTGAGTGCTATGTTTGAATATTTTCTCTTCTTTGCATTTTTTCACGTTCTTTTGAAGGCCCTAATTCCTTAGTAGGATTCTTATTCGTCTGATTTTTGCCCTTCCCTTTAGCCATCTCTAGTGCTATGTTTTTTGGATTATGGGGGCAGTTGTGTTTATTATGACCATAGCACCCACAGCAAAAAAAAAAAAAAGATTTAAGCTCTCATATTCCATGTTAAATAGCTCATCTCTAATAACTTTTCTGGGTACAAGTTTCATTTGTAGATCTACATCTACACTGATCCTCACGAATTTGCCACATTCGGTTTTGCCATTCTTATTTGTGGAGTCTGATTCAGATAGGGAGTTGGAATCCACTTTCAATGTTTTTCCTATACAATTTCCCAATCTCCAAAAAATTTCTTTATCACAGCATCATATAGGAATGTTGGTAAGTTTGACCTACAGAGCAATTTTGTCTAACAAATATGCAATGGTCCAAGATAGTCCATGGACCACCATTCAAAATTTTATCATATGTAGATTGGTCATTAGGTCTAATAATGTAATAGTCGTTAACAAGATCAATCAATTTAAAGTCTCTAAGTTGTCACATTTTAGCTAACCTAGGTTTGTGCGATTTTGGATTGAGTTGTAGACCCAGTGTATTGATAACAATGGCATCCATTCAGGGAAAGCAAATTTTCTTCCATTCTTCATTAGAGATTTGTAGAGATGGGTATTGATGCATTAATTTCTTTGTTCTCTCAGTTGGTGTCCACTGTTGCTCTAATTCTTCAGTAAGGTTTTCATTTCTGTGCTTACCTTCTCTCCGTGGGCAAATTCCATAGCATCCATTATAACCAGTTAGGGAGTCTTTTGTCGGAGATAGGAACTTTAGCCCCTTAAATCGCAGCAGCTGTGTTATTTTGTTAAGCATGAATGCTTGGAATGCTATTTAATTGAATGTCCATTGGCTACTCTTGGAGATTGTTGCTTGGCTTCTGATTTTGTATGTTGCTTGGTTTCTCAGATTGTTGATTCGATTTTGCACTTATGTCAGCCATATCATCATCTAGTTTAGAGATATTCCTATTAAGTTAGTTTCTTCTTTGGAAGCTGGGGGATTCAGAGGTTCTTTTTGGGTTGAAGAGGCTGAGAAAGTAAAGTTTGATTCAAGATTGCTGTTGGAATTCATCGATGGAGAAGAGTGAGCAAAGACTCTTGTGCATTTAAAAGGGTCATTTTCATCTTTTTTCACTCACTCTTTTTGTCAGATATCACATCAGGAATTTCAAAGTAATTTTAGAATATTTTGGTCCTTTTTCATAATTAAGACTTCATTGTGATTTTCCCTTTAAAAAATTATCGAGGACATAAATTTCATTTATAAAAACATAATTTTAATTATCACATACATTTTATGTAACCATTTTATTTTGTTGATCAATTTCAGCAATATAATATAAACATCTGCAAATTATTTTGTAAAATTTACTTGAAACACGATATTTATTAAGAAATTGATTGTTACAATATCATGGATTTTTTTAAAAAAACTGATCATAAGTAAATTTTAAGTTAAATGATTTACTATAAATATAATATAAACAATTGCATGCATGTATTGCCAACCAATTTTTGTCATCTAAAGCCAAAGTTTCTTTTTTTCTTTCTTTTTAGTTTGCAAGCATGTAGCAAATCAAATTGAAACAGACAAAGTCAATGTGATTTTCGCTGAAAATCAATGTAAAAAAAAAAACTTATTATGTCCATTTTAAATAGAACTGACATTGAAAATTCTAGTCCACCAGTAAAAGTATTGGAGCTTTTGTATATATAGCCTATATTATAAGACCAAACTAAACAAATAGCCCAACATTTATTATATTTTATATTATGACTATTTTATTATATTTGTTAATGATACATCATTATATATCAATGATAAATCACTTGTAAAGTTTTAAATTTTCAATGATAAACTCCTTATATATCAATGTGAACCGATCACACTTTTAAATTTTTAAAAATTTAATTCATACTTTCTGGGTATAATTTTTTTTTTCTATTAGTGGGCCAATTAATCCAAAAGTATAAAACCCTCACAATATTATTATTGTTATTATTATTATTATTATTTTCGGGGCAACACCCTCACAATATTCTTCACTCCTTTTAATTGGAGTGGGAAAACAGGTATCACACTATCACATGACTGCTCCAACCAAGTTGGAACCTTCATGCCTTGCACGTTCCAAATTCCTAAATGAATGTGTTAGTTTGCCTTTAAATATACATGTCATATACTTCATGTCAAGGATAAACAATAACGGCAACAAAAACGACTAATATACGACCTGTTTGGCTTTTGTGTCTAAAAATTATTTTCTATTTTTATAAAATAAAAAATAAAAAAATTATTTGGGAAAGTATTTTGGATTTAAACACTTTTAAAACTGATGAAATTTAAAAAAAAACTCAGTGCTTTTTTTGTTCTTTTTAATTTTTATAGCACATTACATTTATTTAATTATTGTAACATATCTTCAGTTGTGGTCCACTTGATGCAAAACAGGGAAGGAGAAGGGGGAGAGAATATAAAAAAGAAAGAAAGGGATCAATAGAGAGAATAAAGAAAAGAAAAAACTCAGAGAAGAGACAAGATAACAGTAATTCTTATTTAATCAAATGTGTGTACAAATCAAATGAGTTGAGGTGCTATTTATAGGCCTCAACCCAACCCTAGAAATAAATGTATGAAAATAATAGATATTCTAAAATTAAATAAAAAATAACAATAACTGAAAAGATAATAATAAATGTTGAAAGATAACAATAATTCAAATTAAAACAAAATATTCATAATTAATATGAAAGCAAAATATCTTATATTTTCAAATTTTCAATATCCTTATAATATCTTTAATTATTTCTTTTTCTATTTCTTCTCATCATCTCTCCCCCACTTAAAGAACTCTCCTTTGGGGAGTTAAATTATGGATATGCTCTGAAAGTACAATAGGATCAAGAGATTCTGAGTTATGTCTCTATTTAGAAATCCTTTCCAGCAAATCAGATACCAATAAATGGCATCAAGTGAATAGCAAACAATTTGAGCATGTAGAATTATAAAAGTGCAAGTTTGGAAATCCTTTCCAACAAATAAGGTAATATTAGAGGGGATCATGTGGTTCAAGAACAAATTGTTCTTCTAGAGTTACAATAACCTCAGCACTATGTGGTGTAGCAAACCAACAAGGTAAAATAGGATCAAGATCAAATTGCATACCATCATCAATAGTTTCAAAAGGAATAATCATCGTAAATAGAATTTGTATATGCAATTGCTTTGTCATATTACTGGCTTCTACTTGTTTCTCAATATCACCTATCTTTAGAGTAGGTGTAGAATCATTAGTATAGTTTGAAACCTCCTTCACGTCTAGATCGTCACATACATTAATCTTAAAATTATCAACACCATTGCTTTCTGGCACTACTGATATAGTTAAAAGTCTTTGTTGAGTGTATTATCCCCTTTAGAAGTCAAAATATTAAGGTCTTTGTGTGGTTATAAGATACTCTTGATAGGATTAAAAGTTTCTTCCTTTTAATATGACCTCTCTCTCTCTCTTTCTCAACTTGACAGCATTGCCCTTCTTTTAATGTTGATTGAAGGAAGCTTTGGAGTTCATCAATTTTATCCCTCACAAGTTCAAGACGTGAACATATGAAATACAAGTCTGATTGATCAACTAAATTATATTGCTAATGACATTGATGATGATTGACTAATTATAGTGGTGACGATCAGCATAATCATATTAACAATAATAATTATATCGATGACAATCCATATGATTATATTGATGCATGTCAGCAATTAAATAAGACCATAACATCATGATTGAATGTGTTTTGTTTTTTTGTGACTGTAGGCAATGGAAGGTTTTTTTTTTTAATGGAAAGCTCTAATATCCTATTTGAGAAAAGGTTCCCACATTACCCTTACCTAAAAGGTGAAAACCCTATTCAACAAGCCTAACCCTTCAAGAACTTAAAAGCTCCTCAAGGATTACACTTGCTAAATAATTAACAACTAGAGTGAAGTCTTCACAGTGACCTTTGGGGGCCTAGAAACCCCTCAAGGAAATTGATAAAAACTTTGACTAGCTTAAGGTAGATAACTATTTATAAGGTGATTTTTTTAAGAGTTGAATTAAAGGAAAAATCAAATGAGTGAATGAAGGAAAGGAAATATGGAAAACAAAATAATATCAAAAAGAAGGAAATATGGTAGAATGACTTAAAGTGAAGGAAAGTGAAAACAAACAAGAATAATAGGAAAAAGGAACAAGAAAAGGAGACAAATAGTAAGGGACCTAAAATTTAGGATAGAAAAACCTTACCAAGTAACTTAAGGAGTCTTAAATCAGAAACTTATCTCCCAAAGTATTTCTGTATGATGATTCTTGGTACTAAGAAGGTATTTTAGAGTGGATTTGGTAATAGTATTTTAGAGTGGATTTGGTAATAGAAGCAGTGTGAGAACCTTGGTTCTGATGCCAATTAATGCAGAATGAGGAAGAAGGGGGTAGGAATATAGAAAAGAAATAAAGGGATCAATAAAAAGAATAGAGAGAAGAGAAAAGTCAGAGGAGACGCAAGATAACAATAATTCTTATTCAATCAAACATGCATACAAATCAAATGAGTTGAGATGTTATTTATAGGTCTCAACCCAACCCTAGAAATAAATGCATGAAAATCATAGATATTCTAAAATTAAATAAAAAGATAACAATAACTGAAAAGATAATAATAAATGTTGAAAGATAACAATAATTCAAATTAAAATAAAATATTTATAATTAATATGAAAGCAAAATATCTTCGATCTTCAAATCTAAAATATCTTTGTAATATCTTTAATTATTTCTTTTTCTATTTCTTCCCATCACCACCACTGTTAAAGGTCATCTTCATCAACCACTAGCTACCATCATTGTTGGCTTCTTCTTCTTCTTCTTCTTAACTGTAAACTTATTTTTAAATTAAACATAATCCAACAAGTTTTTATTTTGTTTTATTATAAAAAATATTTTTAAAATTTATTTACAAAATAGTTTTTAAGAATAAAAAATAAAAACAAAACCAAACAAGCCCATAAAGTCTCAATGCTAAAGGGTAAAATTATTCGTCAAGTAAAATTTTGCGGCAAGATCATGATCAGCTTACAAAGAGAGCTTTTCTAAGGTTTGCACTCTTCAGGTTGGCATCGTTGAACTTTGCTTCCCGAAATACAAAATTAATTAAAATAATCTATAACTTTAAAGCAAGAATACTGTAACTTAAAATTAAAGAAAATTTTAATGCAAAAAAAGAAGAAGATATAATTCACTATTAAAACCTTAATCGATCAACGGACATCATAAAATTAATAATCAGAAATTTGTATTTTTTTTTCAAATTCTGATTATTTTCAAATGTTTAAACAAATACCATAAAAATTCACAAAATAGTTTTTTTAAAATAAGTAATTTTTCATCAAATTAGTTGAAACAAGAGAGCATCTAATGTTTGGCATGATATCTAAAATCACACGGTTCACTTTACTTTAAACGTGGAAAGATAGAGAAGCAGTGTGGGGTGTCCGGCTGCCAATATGTTATGAGTCCCACAAAAACGAATCACATGAATCCTTGTCACAATTCATAGTGAAATGTGTTTTAATATGTCTAAGTTCAAATATATCTATGGGAAAAAGTGAATTTTGTGTCCTCTAATTTTATACAATGCTTCAATTTAATTCTTTAATTTTATAAAATACTTTTTTAGTCTTCTAACCTTAACACAACTAGTCTTAAGTGATGATTTTGTTGTGCCATTATCAACACTGTTTTTCCAAAATATTAAACTTAGTATTAATATTTGATAATGTTTTGTCAAATTTTAAAAGTTTATTGTCAACTTTTTTTTTTAATAAAACCAATGGTGTGAGGATTTAAGATTGAAAATATACTTTATAGAATTAAAGAATCCAAATGCCCATTTTGTGTAAAATTTAAAAAAAATTAAAGCTGCATTTTTGTCTATATCAATATTTATATACGATTATAACATTGATCTACAAATTATATTCTAGTTATAGAATGCACTGAGAGATCCAGAATCTCTTGACTCTAAATTAGCTCCTTCTAGGTTAGCTCTCTCTAGGTTGGCATTTGTAAGATCTGCATTCTGAGGCGAAGAGGGTACAACTCAATGGATAATTAAAATCAGTTTGCAACAAATGACATGATTCTAGGTCATTGTTTCTATGCAGCCAAGGATGGGCACTAGAGGGTCCAACGAAAGTTCCTTGAATGAAAAGGAAAAGAGTCTGTCCTACGATTAATTGCCACTAAAATATTTAACAATAATGGAAAAAGGCACATAGGATAATGTAGTTGGATGAACCTCAAATGTACTATCAAGTACTAATGCCAACTTGTTTATAAATTACTAAGACATGCTATGAGTCTTCCATGCTGTTAAAATTAATAATGAACTTTTATTGTTAATATTCTAGTATCACAAACAAAATCTATTCAATTGAAGTAACTTCTAGACATGTATATAAATATATAATATGAAGAAAAAACACAATCATTGGTGGATTTTGTTTTAATTTCTATATTTTTTTTAATATTTTTAGTCATTATAGTTCGTGTAATTTAACACCGTTGGGGACGTGAAGAAAAAATCCCCAATCTTGTTAAAATTTTAGGCACTAATGATTGTGTTTTCCCTAAACTAAATAAAAAAATCATATTTGTTTAACATGATTTATATTTGGATTTTTTTTTCTGAACAAGATTTATATTTTGTTAAATGAACAAAAAAGCCAAAAGTCAAAAAAAAAAAAAATCAGCTTCTACCCCAACCTTAAGTTTAAGCAAAAAGCCATACATTTTCCTACAATTTTTATACAAAGAAAGTTTCTTTTTTTTTTTTTGTTTCAAACTGACTTTGGGATCCAAACCTCAGTTTGAGCTTAAACCAAACATAAACCTGCCTACACTTGCTACTGTCGCTAGAACAAATAAGTATAAAATTTACAGATTATGTTTGGTGGTAAACCTTGAGATCCGCAAAACTCTAGACTGTTTTGAATAAGGTACAGTCTCTTAAGCAAGCATCAGCAGAATTGCATATAAAACAGTAAATTAAAACAATAAAAGATCAAATGTACCTTTTAGTTTTGCAGTCTCAAGGACAGCATGTTTGAACGAAGCTCCACGAAGATTTGCATTATCAAATTCACATTTTCGCCAGACCGGATGCATTTAGAAATATGTTTGAAAGAATTATAAAATGATAAGAGAAGTATTGCTCTAAGTGATTTACTCATGAATAGTTGCATTGTCAAAGATTGTGGCTTTAGCATTAGCTCCATATCTTCAGTAGCTTGAAGATAGAGTCATAATAAAATATATTTATTTATTTTTAACAAGATAATGTTTTAATTGCTTTTAAAGTATTGATGTCATTTGATTTAGCTTTCATTTTGTATTTGATGAAAAAAAATTATAAGAATTATTACTAACAAACTTTGTCAAGCACACTGCAACAAAAATTCCAAGATATATTAAATGCCATGTGCTTAATAACTATCATAAAATCATTTATCCTAAAGTTAAGAGGTTATGGTTAATATATGTTCTTCTACAAAAAAATTTCTTTTCTCTATAATAACAAAGCTATTGAAATTTATTACATGAATTTTTTTTACTATGATATACTTAGATCTCATTGACATAAAGAATTTGTGAATATTGAGTATCATTATGGTGTCGATATATTTATTTACTACAATTATCAATTAAAAGAATTAAATAGTACATTCATTAAGCAAGTAATTGAGTTTTTTAGATTGAGCAAAACTTTATATCCCAAGGATGCATTTAAATTATGCAATGCTTATTTGAAAGATGAAATCTTCTCCAATTTAATGATAGTTTATATCGAGAAGGAATTGCTAAAAATTTTATCATAGAGATCATAATTCATTATTCTTATATACCATAAAAAATTGATAAGCAAAACTTAAAAAATAAAGGTATATATAATAATTATTATTATGTATAATTGAATACAAATATATATGTTGAAATATTTATACATGTTATGTTAGTGATATACATAGATTTAATTTTCTTTCAATTATCATATATGGTTTGTCATCATCTCAACCCCCTAATAAACTTTTCTAGCTCCAACCATGCTCAAGAACACATGACACATCTATGTTGGGATAGTTGAAGAGGAGGGCATAAAGGCTGCTTTGATGCTAATTGCCATTGAAAGTTTTGTCACGCCCCAAAAAATTTAAGGCATGATTGGCACGGAATATGTGTGTAAAACCCATATCCCTTAAGCCTTGAATAAATATATTTTCATCCATGCAAAACTATAGGCATATTTTTTATATAAAATCTATTGTCTTTAATTGATTTCACACAAAAAAAAAACAATAAATTTCTTGTAGAAATTGTTAATATTACTTTCATGTAAATAAGACTGCCTGAAATGTATGACAAAAAACAATAATAATTAAATAAAAGAATCTCCACTCCCTACCAACAAATACACAATCTTTAAAGAAAGACGAGAATCCTACCCACATTATACATGGAGCACCTAGAACCAGACCATGAAATTAATATAGGATTCAAATTTACATCAAGCAAAACTTGTCTGAAACAATTCTTTCTAAAATGCCTCAAGTAACACCTTGACATACAAGTTTAGCTTATATCATCTAAAGCCAAAAATATATTTTTCAGTGAATAACGTCCCAACTTTAATATTAAAGGAAACAAAAGAAAGAAATAAAAATGGAATAAACATGAATTTAACTAAAGTAGTCATTTAGTATGGCAAAGTGCATAACTCAAATAAAATAATTTCATTTAAACATTTGACTTGAAAGCATGTTCATAGGATGACAACACAAAAATAAAGTTCTACTTTCCAACTATCAAGCTTGTGTCAAGCAGTTAAAAGTAGCATCATTGATCATAAAAAAATCCTTTCATAAAAACCAACTTGTTTAATAGGTTTAGTAAAAAAAATAGAAATTTCAAAATTTCTTTTGCAGGACTTTATCAGAATGAATAATAAGCATGAACAAAAAGTCCATGAAGGTAAATAACCAACAAGCATAGACACACAATCCACAAAAATAAGTAACTAATAAGCGCAGCTAAAAGCCACAAAACAAGCGTGGTAGGAGCCACGAATCAAGCGCAGGCATGAGGCCCACAAAAACAAGTGTGAGTATAATGCTTATGAATTACCATCCCTCCAATTCATGTGCATTGGCTATTACACGGGGCTAGCATCTCCTAAGCACCTTGCTAGCTAGGTGTACCATGGCACGTCAAGGGCTAACAATCCTGCTATTAGCAATCAGCGTTCTGTATTCAGTTCCACCAAAAGATTTTCAAACGTGTATGGAATCCAATTTTTGATGGAACACCATATCATTTGTCAAATATTGAAATTCACAAAATAATATTGTTAATCATAGAACTTTCTTGAGACAAGTTCTCATGCTTGGGTGTTTGTAATCAGGATATTGAAAAATAACAAAAATCAAATAAATCTTCGTTTAGACTAACCTTTAAATATCAATAATAGAATTAAAATCATAACATCATGTGTGTGTGAGGAAATATGCTCAATCAATATTTTTAACAAAAAAAATTTATTAACAAGTCATTGGGACATTATTCACTTAGCTGAGGCATTTTCATATATATATAATTTACTCCTAATTAGCCATTTATGTAACCTTGTCCATGCCTTCATTCCCTAATGCCCAAAGGGACATTATTTTTATTTCTTTTATACACTTTATAAATCCAAAATCTATGATCCAAACAAATTTAGAGAATGGGAAAGGAAAATCTCAACAACATGTATATGGATAGTATTCGAAGTTTCCAAGTTTTCCCATAAAAAATAGACAAATCCCACTATGATCTAATCAATATTATCACTCATGTATATCCAATTTCATAAACTTCCTTAACTCAAACATTTCATCAAACACTATATATGTACCTAAAAGATAACACAAGAACAGCAATCTTGGACATATAATTATTAATCAATTTTTTTTTCCAAAATTTCTTACCTTTATTTCCAACTTTTTATTATATAAAATAATTATCTACTATAGTAATTTAATCGACCAATAGTTTCAGTATAGAACCCATAGTCAATTTCTCCATTCAAGCACTCTATTGATCACCTTGCATACATCAAAGTTCAAAATAATACCAAGCTTCTTCCTACCCAGTTCCCTTCTTAAAAATTTCAAGTGACAACATTTGAATTAAATAAGCTTCCCATATTTCATTTCATCAGCACAAGCCAAATTCCCATCAAAATCGATGTAAGCTAAAAGAAAATTTAAGCCTGTCAAGCAACAGCCAAACAATTATGGAGAAATTATCTATCAAAAACATGTTCTTTATTCAGTTTTCAAAGACCTCAATCACCCTCCCATTTAAGCACCACACTAGACCAGAGAGGGAGAATCAATTTCAAGCAACACACTCATAAACACACGCAAAGATCTGATACAAGGAGAGAACGAAAGCGGAGTTCAAATCACCAAAGAAGCCAAAAGGGAAAGAAGGAAGGGAACCAAATCTTCTACACCCACTCCAGAAGGCCCATGGCACAAGAAAGGGAAAAGAAGAGTGGACCGATGGCGAAGCACAAAACTGGAAGAAGAATATACAGCACCAAACAGGGAAGAAGAAAAACTCATGAATCAAATCTCCAGTAGCGTCACGAATGTACCCACAATCCCCTGCGACTGACGGAATGTTTGGGGAAAAAATCGACAGTACCGAAAATGGTGGAGGAAGAACAACCCATGAGCTTAACAGCATCTTCCAGTAGAGATAGACCCCACTCCTTCGTGCATGCTCATCGACGGCAAGGAAAAGGAAGAACAAAGGAGGTGGAGAATGGAAGGGGAAGAACTATTTGTTAGGGATTTCATCGTGCCCCTCCTCTCCCCCTCTACTCATGCCTCTCGACTAAAATGGAAGGAGGGGTAATACCTTATAGTATATTTTGTAAGGGGCATTCTGGAAATTTTTCAATGTTTAAAAATATAAAATAAAATTCCTGCCTCAAGAGGATAAGGATTTGAACACTGATCTAAAGGTGAGCACTGAGCAGCAAGCTTTTCCCTTGAGCCACGCTGCATCGTTTCTATTTTTTATACAATTATCATCCAAATAGGTTATTATAAATTTTCATATTACAATTTTTCTTTTTACATGGTCATCTCACACACGTCTATACCTTCAACAATATTTAAGTCAAAATGCCAAGAACCATAAATTATTTTATTTTAAATTTTCCAAGTGTGCACCAATTTCTCTTTTGTTGCTATAATAAAATTATTTATTAGATTTTTAAAAAAATTCTTAAATTTCCTAACCATTATAAGTTTAGTTTGATTGTAGAAAAAAAAAAATAGAACGCCTGAAATTGCAATCAAGAGACATCTTCAACTAATATTGATCTAACTAGTACGTCTCAGGGAAAGGCTATAGTCAACATGGTGGATTCTTGATATTGCATTATTAGTAATTTATTAATTTATTATTTTGGATTCTTCCATAGTTCCATTTGTTTGTTTTCTCTTGCGTGGAATTAATAGACAGGAAACCTAACCCAAATACTTAATTATCTGGTTAGGCGGCAAAGCAAAGTTAGCTTCAATATTTTGTCGTCTTCAGGATTATTATTTTATGTTTTTTCTTTGTAAGTGGAAGCTTTTAATATTGTCATGATTATTAATTTATTAATTCATTATTTTGGAGTCTTCTATTCTGCTTCTTTTCTATTTTAATCTGACCCCTACTTTTGTTTTCTATTAATAAAAATTATTTTCTCATGGAAATAGATAAGAAATCAAACCCAATACTCATCTGGTTTGGTAGCAAAACAACTTTTATCTTTCTTTCTTTTTTTTTTTTCAAGATGAGGCAAAGCCCTTGCAAGAAAAACTAGCAAGAAAACAAGCTGAAACAAATCGCGGAAAAACCTAATCCCCATCAAAACCTAATTCCAAAATATAGGAATGAAGTGTACGGGATATGCACTCAAACTCACATCCGTCAAGTTTTAACTTAAGAAATTTCTAATTTTTTTTTAAATCAGGAATATCTTTGTAATAGAATTAGGTTCTTTTCAATATAGTTTTCATACAAGCACTAGCCTTAATTTTTTTTTTTAAATAAAAATTTTGACAAAATCTTCCTTTATAAATAAGACCTTTCAAATATCCTACAGCAGAATTTTACTGTCGTCTCCCAAAAATTAAGTTGTGACTAGCACAGGATATGCTAAAAACTCACATCCCTTAAGCACTAATATAAGAAGAATCTAATTTTAACCACAAATTTTCTATAAAACTTTTAGCAAAGTCTTTTCTATAAATAATTCCTCCAAGAAAGAAAAGAAAGAAAAAAAAAGTATAATGACAGAATTGACTCAAATGATCAAAAAGGAGCTCCACTCCATATTCGCAATCATACATCGCTGCTAGAGAAAACAAGGACCCTACCTATGACATATGAAGCACTTAAAACATAACATACAAAATAATATATATATATATATATATATATATATAAGTTTTACAACAAATAAAGATTAATCAAAAATACGTTCTGACTCCAACTTGGCATTAAACCCCTTGAAGATCCATAGGAGGTGCAAAGCTGTCTATATTATCCGAGAATAAAAATATCTTTCAGTGAATAATATCTCAATAATATTAACAAAGGATATAATAAATGAAACATGTAATTACACTAAAGAAGTGAATTAGTATAACGTAAACACTTTGCTTCAACATCATAAAATCTCTAAGACATTTTGACCATATAAATGACAAGAAAATATATTCATCATTATTCATTTGCAATTTGCACAACTATAAATATAAAATCAACATTTAAACCATGATTCCCTAGACAAAAAAATGAAGATTGTGAAATTATGATTTATTGGAACTTTAGCACAACAGATAACAAATGTGAACACATAGTCTAGGAGAGTAAGTAATTAATCAAATGTAGCTTAAAGCCACAAAGAGAAACGTGGACACATAATTCATGGGGGTAAATAACAAAATGCAGAATAAGCTACAAAAACAAATGTGGACACACAATCTATAAAAGTAAATAACCAAATGTAGCTTAAAGCCACGAAAGAAAATGTTGACACATAGTCCATGAGAGGTCATGCTAACCGAACTAACCAAACACAGCTCGAAGCCACAAAAACCAATGCAAGTAAAAGACCCACGAATAGCAAACGTGAGTGTGATACTCATGAATATTAAATATGAGTATGATGCCCATTAGTATTGAGCTAGCTAGGTGTTAACCATAACGCTACGGACTAACGAAATTACCGTTAACAACCAATGTTATGTATATAGTCCCTTTGAAATCAATTTTCAAATAAGCGAAAAAATAATCACTATTAAAATGCAGGTAAACGAATTAACATATCATTACACCGCTAGGAAAACAAACGGACAAGAAAAGCATAATGATATCATATTTTAATTCAAAATTTCATGATACAAATTTTAATTATAAAAATAAATTTGATATAATTATTTAAAATATTCCTTATTCATTATCAGAGTTTCACTTATTCACAAAACCTGTATGGGGCTATCGCTATTAGTTTTCATTTCCTATCTCATGGAAAATCCTTCTTGTGTGGAATGGGGAGGGAAAAGAAGAGGCAAAAAAAAAGTAAGAATTGTTTGTTAAATATAATTATGGAAAATATTATGTTTTACGAAACTGCGTCAAGCTGGACTAATGACTGAACCTATCTATACAGCCCACAAAGACCAGCGAAGAAAAACAAGAAACAAGAAGGTAAATAAACAAAAATAAATACAACACAATACGAAAAATAATTAAATAAATACAACAGGCCTGGATACATATGGCCCAATACAAATGCAAAGCAGACATGACACGCCCAATTGATCTCATATTTTCTACAACTTCTTTTACTAAAGACAATCTCCTCCAATGCTTGCATGATACAGCTTTAGAATTCTTCAACTTCGAACCCTAAGACACAACAAGGTTGAAAATTTGAAAATAGAGTCACTCGACATTTAAATGCTCCAGTAGCAAGCAAATCAAAATCTATTTCCCTTTGCATCAATTTAATTTCCTTCCATCCTCAATTCTTAGTGCCCAAAAATCCCAAATAACTTTAACTAAAATTATTTATGCATGTGGGCGAGTGTGTGTCTGACATCAATAAAAAAATTCAAAAATAAGAAGAAATTAAGTAAAGGGATGATGGTGAGTTACTTGTGAAAAGAAATTAGAGTTTTCTTCGTTTAGCAGAAGATGTTTCTGCTTCATCACTAACCACAGTGTTGTCCTCTTCTGCCACTTCTTCAACTTGGTGGGATCTCTTTCCGTAAGCATAAAGTGAGTGTTGAGAAGGGATTTCATTGTTATTACCACTTGTATCGCATTCATTCATTGATCTATGACATTCTTCAACATCTTCTTCGCTTATCACACGCCACCCGCACTTGCTTATCACAAACTTGCTCAGATTTTGCAAATCAACTTTCCCTTCCCATTGTGATTCCCTGCCTCTGTGCTTATATTTTTGCGTATAAAATATGAATTCAATCTGGTCACAATCAACTATGAAATTACTGCTAGGAAAATAAGTCATTAACATTTGATGTGGATTGTTTCCCATCCCAACCATCCAAGAATCCCTATGTTTGAAGAAATCATCATGTGAAGATTTATAAGCTAACAATAGCTTTCGATGGAACACATCTTCACCAGACACTGGAAGGTCCTGATCTTGTAGAACAATGCAGAGAGAAATTCCCCACCATACACCCGAGCCACAAACATGAGAGATGTCTACTTTTACTGACACAATGGAATCTGATGGTTCAAAACCATCAATCAAAATGCGATGACATGGACAAAAATCTTGACAAGAGATTTTTATCTCAGAAATTTGAACATGATTATCTTGAAAGGCATCAACTTTATCATGAAATTGGATATTTTGATTATGGAACCATGATGGGATATCACTTTCCAACGTCCACCAGGATTTGTAAACCATTTTATTTGAAATCCTAGAAGGAAAGGATTTTGAAAAATCAAGACCAGATTTGATCAAAATGGATACAAACTCTGAGAAAGATAAAGGTTGCATTGAATGACAAGCAATTGTATCTATCTGCTTTAGGTTAGGCGGAAGATCTGGTAAATATTTGAGATTTGGGCAATAGCTCAAACGAAGAAGAGACAGAAGTGATAGATTAGCAACACATTGAGCAGGAAGATGGGTAAATTTGTTTTGATTTACACTAAGACTCTGCAACGATGATAAGAAGCTAAGATTTTCAGGAATTGACCCATCACGGAGATTGCAATTATCTAATGTCAAAGACTTCAATGATGAAAGATGTGAGAATGAAGAAGGAAGAATGCAACTGCCATCAGGCAAGTTGCCGAAATCATTTTTGCTCAAATCAAGGATCTCCAATGAAGGTAAGCAACTAAGAGCATTTGGAATTTTTTTGAGATTGCAATCACTTATATCCAATTCCTTCAATGATGCTAGACCTAAGATTGAAAGAGGAAACACCAATCTAGTCGGAGCTTCATGAATAACGAACCCAAATACTCTTGGAATTCGGGAAAGCAAGTTTCCTAATGAATAGGATGTTGAACTTAGACCATTACATCCTTTCAAATATAGTGACTTCAAATTTTGTAGGCCAATGATGGATGAAGGTATTTCTCGTATAGCAGTTCCACTCAAATTAAGCTCCTCTAAACACTTATTTCCATCAATATTATGAGGCAAAGAGGAAAACTTTGAGCAACCTAAAATATTAAGAATTCTTAGGGATTTCAGATTACAAGTGGAATTTGGAAGACAAACAAGGTTTTGGCAATTTTTCACATCAAGAACCAATAAACTATTCATACTTTTCCCAAACTCTGGAAGCTTTTTAACTTTTAAGCATCCAGAAAGGATCAATTTCTCTAATGAATCCATTTCCATTTTACTAGGAAGAGCTTTAAGATTCTTGCAGTCTTTCAGGTCCAATACAACAAGTTTCTTATGCTCTCCAAGTGATGGGTGAACTTCAACCAATTTTACACAACCTTCAAGAACCAGTTGCTCAAGATTGGGAATCATAGAAAAATCAGGAGTTCTTATGAAATCTTCAGAGTATCTCAAATCAATGCACTTTAAGTTTTCTAACATCTGCTCAAAACAATACAAGTGTAAGGGGATTAGCTTTAAAAGATTGTGTAACAATATTGAGCTATATTTGGTTAGGCATAAAAAAAACCATACTTGTGTTCTCTCCCAAAGGTGTATGATCTTGCTGTGATGCATTTTTAGGAGAACAAGTCGATACAGATGAACTCCGTGTGGAAGAGATTGCAAAGGATATGCTTCCCATTCAAGAATTTTCAATGAACTAGGAAGACATGTGAGACCATGAGGAAGGTACACATTACATGAGATGATGAGTATTCTGAGACTACACATACTAGAAAATGCTTCAGAATCCCAATTTGCTTCATATGGTATAGATGACTGAAGATGTATAACTTCTATCAAATTAGATCCCTAGAAAAAATTCAACATTGTAATGAAGGATGAGATATAATATTGAACAATGCAAATCTAGCATATACATACATTAGGAAATTTAATGCATCTCTGGAACAAATTATATACTTACTTTGTTATTAGTCAATACATGATCTATATCTTCTCGTGACCATATCCTACTTCTTTTGCCAGCATCCCCTGGGGATTCCTCAAAAACAATACTTCTGCCCATTTCTTGAAGGACATCATGCATACCCAAACACGTGCCGTGGTCATAATGATATTCAGTTATCAAGCATTTCTCAACAAGTTCTCTTATTCCAAGAACCGGAAAAAAACCACACACTTCAAATATTTTTGTCACTTGATCTTTGTTCATTCCCTTAAAAAAACATGCAAGATCTAAAAATGTTTTCTTGTCCATATCACTTAATGCATCGTAACTAATTCTAACCCTCATTTGAATATTGCTTGGCGGAAACCTTTTAATTTTCTCCAAAGATTCTTTCCATTCAGGTTCAGTTCTTCCACAAAGATAAGAACCCAACACTTCAAGAGTTAAAGGAAGGCCTTGAGCATGGTGGATGATGCTCTTACACAACTTCAAGTAACCTTCCAAAGGTTCATCCCTTTTAAAAGCCCTCTTGCATAATAGTTGAAGAGATTCATCATTGTTTAAGAATGTGGCCTTATAAATTTCAAATTCTCCATGCCCTATCAATACATGCATATCTTTAGTTGTTACAATTACTCTACTCCCAGGGCCCAGCCAAGCTTTCTTCATAGAAAGGTTCTCTAGTTGGCTTATTTCACTTACATCATCCAAGACAACAAGAACTTTTTTGCTGCATAACAAATTCCTCATCATCTTCTTTCCATCGTATGCATCGTCAATATACATGTCTTTTATCTTGAATTGGGAAAGAAGTTTTCTTTGCAAGGGAACTAAACCCTTGGCATCAGAGTTTTCCTTTACATTAGCAAGAAAACAACTAACGTCAAATTGGTGAGATATTCTCTCATAGATAATTCTTGCAAGAGTTGTCTTTCCAATACCTGTCATGCCCCATATTCCTATGAAGCAAACATCACACAATCCAATCTTTAAAAGTGCACTCACTTCTTCTACTCTTGACTCTATGCCAACGAGCTCATTGTTGAAATAACATGGTAACTTGGGCTGTACCTTTGCCCATACTTCTGCAATAATTTCTTCAATGAGTTTTGCTTCATGCCTACACGGAGAAAGAAATCATCAACAATTATTTAGTACTCCATTTGGTCTAAAATGTAGGAGCTATTTGATTAATCGATAAAGATTAAGAAAATTAGTTTAGTTAATTACTTGTATTAAAGGTGTATTGATATCCCTAAAATACCCCCTTTAATCACTGGTTTTGGAAACTATCCCATCAGTTAATGGAAATCCTTTAATATGTGGAGTCAATAGGGATATTTTGGAGAAAAATTATAAATTTGGAAGACAAAGTGAATTGAGGTCTTACATTTAGGATCAAAGCAAATCCCTCAACTAATTTCTACATTTAGGATCTGACTACAAACCTTTATCCCATGTTCCAAAACTTCAATTGTATAGTAAAGGTATATGACTACTTGGCGTGCATGTGTACGCGTGTGTGCATCTTTGAGTGCGCGTCTGGGTGTATGCATGCGTGTGTACTCTGTATGCATATAGCGACGTCGGTGCTCATCACTTGATGAGCATCGTACAATCCAAATGCTAAGATTTTATTTTTTATATTTTTATTTTACATTTATTATAAAAAACTATAAAATTTTAATAAATCTATCTTACCATTAATCTAAACAATATAAGTTTAATTTAGATGACCTAATTTAATATAAAAATTATAAATTAACTATTCAGATGTATTCTGGACAGTTTGGATTTAATAGTAAACTTTTTTATAATTTTTATAAATTTTATTTTAGTAAATATAATATTAAAAAATAAAAATAAAGATAATCTTCAAAATGGTACTTTAAAAAATAGTTACACATTAAAAATTTTAAATCCAGACTGCCTAGAGTACATATGGATAATCAATTTATAAAAATTATGAAAATATTTAATATTAAATTGTATTATTTAAATTAAACATGCATTGTCCAGATTGATAATAGAGTATATTTATTATTCCCTTTATGAAGAAATGTAAGGCATTTTAAGTCTTTTAAGGTAAAATCATTACTTTTTTTCAAAAGTGCCCCTATTGAACAGATTACTTTAGTTTTTTAGGGTGAATTCTTTATTAAATAGGAATAAATATGAAAAGATAGAGTTAGTTTAAATATAAATAACTACTTTATTGAGGATGAAATTCGGTTAAAATGCCTTAAATTTTTTAATAGAAGGAGTATTATTTATAATTTTTATTTTAAAAAATGTAAAATAAATATAAAAATAAATCTGTAAATTCGGACCATCTAAATTAAAAATCTAAGTGGTCTAGATCGCTATCATGTCATGAGCAGCGTAGTGCTCAACGGGACTAAAGCAACTCTCTAGCTATCAAAAGAACTTAGCTTGAAAATATGCTCTTTAAACATTTTTCTTTCGTTTTTATTTATTTATTTATTTATTTTGTTTTTGCTCAAAGAAACAAAAGGGTAAAAATGCAACTGTAAGGAGAGATTAAGGACCGTTTTTTTTTTCCTATAATTTTTTGGCGCCCATTGATGGGCTGACCATATATTCCTCCCTGGCTAAATATATGCAAGTAATAAATGAGAAAATCACTAAGCTAATTAAGGGTAAATTATATTTTAATCTCCTAACTTTATATATGGTTTCAATTTGATCTTTTAATTTTGTAAAGTATATTTGTACTCCTTTAATCCTGATATCGTTAATTTCAAATGATTATTTTTTATGTCAATCATTTTTATTTTGAAAAACGTTAAACTTAATATGTCAATATTTGAAAATATTTTATCAATATTTGAAAGTTCAGTGTAAAAATTTGTTGGGATAAAACTAATAATGTTAGCCTGTTAGGGTTAAATGACTAAAAATATATATTATAAAGTTAATGGACTAAAATAAAATATTGTAAAAAATTAAAGGACTAAAGTATATTTTAGCCGCTAATTAATTAAAATTTTTAATAGTTAATTTTGAAATTTAAGCTTTAAATTAAATTCTTCCAACAATATCATTAATTGTGACCAATCCATCACTACAAGAAAGCAGGAGATTCGAGGTAGAAATTTGTAATAAAATATAAAGAGTCACACATACATTTCAAAATCATTCCAAATATTTGTCCCATCACAACTCACGTATTGGAAAGATCTATAGAATACAAAACTTACTGATCTGTAGAGTTGTAGCCAGATATATTTGCAACTTCTTCCAAGGCCTCTCTCCATCTTTGCACCTTCTCTTTGTTTTCAGCAAATCTCTGACTATGTTTTTGAAAGGCACAAGCAAAGGTACCTCTCTGACGACGAACATCAGATGGATCAATCTTATAGAAGACTGGGATAACTTCTCTACCCAAGGATTTTTTAGATTCAAGAATTCTTAGAAGTTCATCCAAACACCAACTCGAAGAAGCATAAGTTTCAGAAAGAATAACAAGAGAGATGAGAGATTCATCAATTGCTTGAAAGAGCTGGTGAGAAATAACCTCTCCTCTCTCGAGCTTATCATCTTTGAAAGTTATGATACCTTTTTGTTTGAGAGCAGCGTGTAAGTGGTCTGTGAAGCCCTTTCGGGTGTCTTCTCCCCTGAAGCTCAAGAAGACATGGTACTTCCATGGTGGGATTGTCATGAAGTTCATGGAAGTCGAGAGACAGAGAGGCTGCTTCAACAATAGGATCTATTCAAACGTTTAATTTGTGGATTAATCAGGAATATATACAATTAACACATAAGGAGATAAGAGAAAGAACAGAGCTTCCGTACCAGAATAGCAGCGACGGAACAGGAAAGGGAAGTAGAACCAGCAACTATACAGTGACCAGTTATGGTGGAGGGACGGCAATGCGAAGGTAGGAAGGTCGAAGCTCTGGACTCGCTCTCACTCTCGCGATCTGAGACGCATCAACGGGAAGAAGAAAAGAGCAAAAAAATAGACCATGACCCTTAATTTTTTTAAGGGTATAATGGTAATTTCACTACATCACTAATTATTGGGTGGAGGTGAATTGAATGGTTCTATTCAGTATCATTCATCGCACAAGTATATCCCTTTAATTTGAATCTATTTAGAAAAACTGATTCTAAAGATCAAAATGAAATCTTTTTTTTTTTCCTTTTTCTTTCTACTGACAAGATTAGGTTAGTGAAAGAAACTTTATTACCTTATTTTTTCAAAATAAAAATATAAACTTTTAAAAATGTCTTATATATTTTTTCAGGAGTACTAAATATTTCTAGTGCTTTGCAAAATGACTTATACTCTCTCGATTTTTATTATAAGACACATCTAACTATGTTACCAAAATCAAGCATGGATGGTTAAGTTATTAATTTTGTCTAAAAATATAATAAACTTCTTTTAACCTTACTTAAATGAAAATTTTTCAAATTTACAGTACATTCTCCCTCATAGTTAATGAATTTAAATAGATGTAATATTGAAAGAGTATAATTAATATCACATTAAATGCCTTATATTAAGAATCAAAGAATATTTTTAAAAGATATCTTATAATAGAGACTAGAGGTAATATTTGATAACATATAATATTCTCAGAATGTGACTTATATTTGACAAGCAGAGAAAGTATATTATATTCATCCATTTATATATAGAATTTAAATTTATCTCGATGCAAATTTTTTTAAAAAAATTACTTATGTTTTCTTGTGCTTTTTAAGGGAAAATATACCTAATTTTTCTTAGTAGCAAGAAGTTTACTCGTCTCCCCTTTTACCGAGAAATTAATAATTTCCCTTCCTTCAAGTAAGAGTAATATTCTTTCTGTTTAATAATAAAAAACATTTTAACTGAATTACACTCTCTATGAGTTAATGTAAATTAACTTTAAAATTCTATATTCTTTTCATATTTACTTTTATTTAATATGGTGTCTCAATTATAAAACCTTATCAATTATCAATTTAGAACCCTAATTAAGAGTGTTTTTGGGAAAAATTATTAATTGCATCTCAAAACCCAAAATGTCAAATATTTTTTAATATGATATTTCAAAAAAAAAGTTATATAATATTAAAGGAGGGAGTAACTACCTTGGATTATCAATTAGTTAGCTTTATGTAATAATGCACACAAAATGTTTTACTACAAATGTACAAGTCAATATACAATATATCAATGCATCAAGTCAATCCCATAAGGAATCAAACATAATAGCAAGTAGGCAATAAGGTCCTCATGTTTACTCATGTTAAGCAAAACTAATTATAATTGATTGATTAACCAAAATTAAAAATAAAATGAATAAAATGCAATGAGATTTGCAATCCAACAACTATGAATATCCAAGGCAACCTAGAATCACTAATCCCTTGCTAGCTTCATAAATCTTGCTTTTATCCAATTAATTAATTTTAAAGCCAACTTTGTTAATCTAGAGGATTGGTAACTATAAGGGTCTTTCGAACCTCAAATAGCCCTCTCTCAAATTAATTATGTTAGTTCTAACAAAATTATTCAAGACACAAATTCAATTCCAACTTACTTTAATTTGATTCTGTGAGGCACTTAATTAGGTATATTTTTATCTTAATTGTAAATTAGATAACAATCTAATCCCATTTATTCAACCTAAGGGTCCAAATGACATTCTCCTTTGTCAAGGAAAAACCCCAATACCCATATTCATAATTAATGGTGGTCAAACATCAAGTAGCTAGATGATTAAATGCAAGATTAAGCAACCAAAATCAATATTAAGCATAACCAATGGATAAAAACATGTTCCAATCCACCATCAAGTTCATAGTTACTCTAGGTCAAGTAGAATCAACCACTAACAGCCATTAAACAAGCACAAATCAGCAATACTCAATAAAAGATACAATAAAATATAGAAAAAAGGAAGAAAAAAGCCTAGGAGGGATGATTTCTATCACAAATTGTAAGATTCAATTATTCCCTAAGCTTTTCCAACTCTTTCTTCACCTTAGAATGTTCCTTAGACATGCAACTACTGTCAAAAAATGAACTAAAATGAAAATTGATCTTCAAAAACTCTTAAAACTGAAATTAAGTGAAGTTGTGTTTTTTGCTTAAAACAAGTGTGATGTCACAACATCATTGGGCAAGGTTTAATTTGTTGTGGGCTTTAAAATTGTCGCAACATCATAAATTGAGCCTCCCTATATGAATAAAACTCAGATAATTGTAGAAGTTGTTGATCATAATTGATCAATAACGTCTACAATTGTCTTAAACTTTATCCACCTTTAATCTCACAAATAATTATGCAATTAGTCACATATTTTCTAATTAATTCCACATGATGACTTCCAATTGCATTAAAAATGCGATTAAATTCATTAAAATATTGGAAGTCATCATGTAACTACCTTGGATCCTCCTTTTTCTTTTATAATTCTACAAAGTTAATTTCAAGGGTCACTTTTCTTTCAATATAATTGTAGCATTCATTATTCTTTTACTAGTCCTATTTATAGGGTACTTCCAATTTTCAATGCTTTTTGCCCTTATTAAATACTTTAAATAAAAATACTAGTAATGAGATTCAAAAATATTTATTAGGAGTAAAGATAAAATTTTATTAAATTTTAAGACAAAGTTAATGAAATTTAAGATTTTGGTAAAAAAATGTTAGAAATGACTTATAAATAAGACCAGAGGAAATATATTTCATTAGCAAAAACATGCACATAAATTGCACGGTTAGTGAAATCGTTTCATGGGTGAGTGTTTTATGAAATAATTCATGCACTAGTCAGTATTAAAATTAAGAAAATTAATATTAATTCGTAGTATGTTTTATTGTAAAAGTTAAAATTAAAAAAATTAAAACAAAATCGAAAGTGTTTTAAGGAATAATTTGTGCCTTAGTCAATATCAAAATTAATTCAATTAACATCCCGTCCAGCTGCACGAATTATTCACAAAAGCAAGACACTTTCATTCAGCATCATGGGAATCATTCCTGCCACCGTGGACTTTTCATTTTGCTACGCAATAATCGTGCTATGCATAATCTACACCTATCATTTTGGATTTTTCAATATTTTATGTCATAACTCTTTCCCATAGCATTTTTTAATCATTTAAAATAACAATATTGATACCAAATCATAGTAAAAGTATAAGAATAATTGTTATGAAATCACATGGTCAATGATCATAATCAACACTTATCCTGATTTTTTATTTCATATGCCCATCGTTGTACATTCCACTCACCTCCGATTTCTGTTCATTCTTACCAAATTCGATCTTATAAGTTTAAATGAGAATTAACCAAGAATATTTCACGCCAATGAGAATCTCTTGGCTCCATTGTTATGTGGTATTGGATTTAATTTTGGGAATAAAATTTGAATTTTATTTAAAATTTGAAATCAAATTTATTTTGGATATAAATACTTTGCCTAGGGATCAACTTGTATTTATGACATTGCATGGACTTGAATACTTATAATTTGGCGATTGATTACAGGAAAATTAGATTGGAATATTGATAAAAAAAATACTCTGAACCATTACAAAATATTGACCCAAATCTAAATTGATAAGCTAATGAATGGGTACCTGGATTTATGAACTAATAAATACGAAAATACACCTGCATTATTTCTTAAAACAAGTAAATTAAATGCAGAATCTAGAATGCTTGAATAATTTGTAATTAATCAACAACCCTTACACGAATTAAAAGTGTAAGATATTATATTTATTTTAATAGCTAATAAAATTCTAAAATAGCTATCAATTAATGAATTATAGACTTAATAAACTTTCAAATTATAATAACCAAATAAATCAACAAAAAGACTTACTAAACTAACAACCTAATAAATGTGGACACATGTTTCCTAACTAATTAGTATCAAACCAAAAATAGGAAATCATTCTTAAAATAAACTAATTAAATGCCTTCCTGTGAGATCTTGAACTCGAAGTCAACTATTAATGGAGTTGAAATTAAGATCAGCTACAATCTGGTACGATGACAGGATGATGGTCTTGAACTATCAATCGCGTTTCTGATGGCAAGCACGCCTAAGTATTCAATATTAGGGTGATCAAGATTAAACAATACATGGGTTGCATTGTCGTAATTTCAAAAAACAATCGGCCTACAAAATAAATTATTTAATAAGCCATCAAATAGTCTAGGAACTCAGTCTATTTAATAAGCCAACAATTAACTTAATTAAAACATGACATAAAACATTACTTTGGGTTCTGCCAAGAAGAGAAAATTGCAAGACAACAATTACACAGCTCTTGTACTACTCGATAAATTGATACTCATTATACACTCACCATTCAGCAAATCCAAGAATGATTCAATCAAATGAATTACCACCTAAAAAATGCAATGCTCTTTTAGCAACCTTTCAAAAATAACCAGGACAATAATAGGAAATGTAACTATTGAATATAAATATCAAAAGAATTAAAAAGCATTGCTCACCAATTATCAATTATTATAAAATTAATTTGATCAACATATGTGCCACGATGATTGACTGGATGATAGTCACCTAGAGTAGTCACCTACTCTAGGTATGACTCCAAAAGCATCTGGATGACAAATTCTCTAATTAGAAACCAAAAAACCATAAATAATTGAAGACAAATATCAAATCGACATATATAACTAAAGAGATTTCTCAATCACTTATCAATATATGTAGCAAAAACCACATGTATGTTTGCAACTTCTAACAAAGATTTAAAGATTAATGCAGAATTAATGTAGGTACAAGAAGGTCCTTACTGCATAGCTTGAAAGTAGGGTCCTCTTGATAGTAAAGAAGGTACTAGGATGAAATGTAGTTAAGTGAACGACTACTTTTATAGAATACAATGACTACTTTTATGGAAATGCAAAATGCCAAACATCATACCAGGGGCCCTCTAATATTATAAAAAAGCTCTTCATGAAGTGTGTGATTGAATCTCGATATGACCTAAGGAATCTTGACTTGAGCTTGCATTATATTGCCCTAGTG